CATCATAGTATGATTCACCAGTTTAGCTCACAGTTGTGTATCATCAGAATATGAACATTCTTGAGACTTTGAAAATATTATATTGCATTTGATAGTGGTCAAAATCCAAAGCTTCCCAAACTGACAAAGAATGAAGGTATTTTTATGATCATCTTCCTACTGAGGACCACATCAAAGAGAGTAAATTCTTTAAGCCAGCTGCTTCCTATTCAGCATTAAGTATCTAAATGTTAGGGGCTAATCTAGTCATCGTAGCTTTCTTCTAGGTTACTTGAGAGACATAAGCACCTCCAGAAGATAATTCATCTGACTTATCTTAGAACAAAATTAATTGGTTTCTGGAATTGAACAATTCTCAACAGTCAAGACCTTGGGCTAGTTATCTCACTCTAGAGTCCTAACCCAAGCAAAGTCCAGTAAATTCCACTCCATATATTTTAATCAGAACTTAGTACTTCGTATTAAAACTATGCCTCGTTCCACAGGCAGTTCTACCAAATCAAGCTAAAAGCTTGAAGACAAGGTACTATTTCATTACTGCGCAGTGGTTCAAAGCTGCACCAGGGAAGGTTTAGATTGAACATAAGGAAGCTTTTCTTTACTGAAAGGATGGTCAAACATTGGAACAGGCTTCCTAGAGAGATGGTCAATACCCCAAGCTTGTCAGTTGTTGAAGAGGCATTCGGACAATGCCCCTATTGACATGCCTTAATTTGGTTAGCCCTGAATTGGTCAGGTAGTTGGATTAGATGATCACTGTAGGTTTCTTTCAACTGAAATAGTCTATTCTACACTACATTTCTCTTATGAAAAATACAAATGTGTATTTCTCTACATCTTCATAAAATATCAGCCCAGAGCCACTTTCCCACTGCCAGGAGCAAGAACACACTTCTTTAGTCATGCTGCATCTCCAGGATCTCAAGATGAGACCTGGGATACGGCACTTTACCTTGTTCTTGTGGTCTAGTTTCTGCAGGAAAGACACACAGGTTTATGGGCTGCCTAGGAGCCATGATATTGTCCAAGCTAGTCCCAGGGTGGATGCCTGGGGAACTGGGACTGCAGGAGGCATTGCAACATGCACTTTCATACAGTTTACATGCAGCTTCTGGTGCTCATATGTAAAGTCTGCCTCTGTGATAAAGATAATGGGCAATGTAATGTTCTTAAAAATACAAGTAAAGACTGGCATCTGGATCAGCCCTTGGAAAACCCCTATCCACGGAGAGACCTCTGGTGTGGAACACTCCCCATAACTAAGAGAAATATTAAATTATTTCTCCTCAGCTCTTACCTGACTGCAAAATATCCAGTCTTTGTAAAGGACTCCTTTGTTTAACACAAACTCATAGCATTTTTTAAATGTCATGTTCAGTTTTATACATAAGACTGCTATATTTTGTAGTTTTCAACTGATGGGAAAATTGCTTTGTTTTAAGCAGACATTTTCCTATGTTGAAGGAAAAGAAAGGAAACACAACCAGAAGAGCTTTTTGAATTAAAATAATTATGTTAGAAAGACACTGAAAGAAGAAAGAATATTTCAAATGTAACAAAAAAAAAAGAATTTTCCATTTTTTTGAAACACTTTTCTAATCATTTAAAGAAGGTAATGTGCAAAAATTTTGTGTTTATTTATCAAAAATTGAGGCTAGCCATATAAAAAAATTCAATTGCTTCCTCTAACAACAGTTTCTCAGTCTGGAGGAGAATGCCTAAATGCACCTGGTAAAATCTCAGCTATGCTCATAATTATTTCATAACTCTTCTAATATGCTTCTGAATATTCTGTTTTGTTGTGGTATAATGCTCAGCAACACAAACACACATTTCTTAATATGAACTCAAAAAAATTTCTGGTTTAGCTAAGTTGTCACTGGCTTTTTTCCCCGTCCCTTCCTGCAGGCTACATAGACCAAAGTAGTCAACTCTAAACGAGCATAAGTTAACTCAGTACTCAGCTTATTCATACACACTTTCTCCCTGTATTCAGTCCTTTTCTGTGGTTTACTCTTAACATCAGCCTTTTCCCACTAACATGCAAACAAATTAAGATAATAATACCTGTCTTTTCATTCTGAAGAAAATTTCCAAATGAGTTTTGTTAACATCTGAATTCTAGTATTTCTAATTCATTATTCATGTAAGACCTTATTAGATCACTATAGCTGAACAAAATGCAAAACCTTAAGCTGACCATATTTTTAAAAATCCCTTAGTTTTCCCCCATTATTCATTTGGCCTTTTTGCCTAATATCATAAGTATTAGGAAGTTGGTATCATCACTTTTTACAATACTATGATTAAATATGCTAAGAGAGGTGGACAAGTAAAATACTTTCTTCCTCCACTAGTTTCATCTCTAACATAAAACTTAACTATTAACAACTCAAGATGCAGAAATATAAGTGCTGCTTTTGAAGTTGGTATCCCATAAAAGAGTAGCTAGTATTTCAGCAGTCAATTGGGTTAGGTTTTTCGCACATGAAGGAGGCTAACTTAGAAAATATTTGGAGGTGAATATAGACTTTTTTTTGGCTTTTCAGGAAAGTCTTCACAAGGCTTTTCTGTAATCCACTTAAATCACCCAAGCTGCTCAGTTCTCTTTGTTTCTTTATAATCACATATGGTTTATTTCATTTTACAGTGAGAAACTTATTATTCATGATTTCTTAATACTGACTGACTGTAGAGTTATTTTATAATTCTCATCAAAGAAAAAAAAAAAGGAAAAAAAAGGAGATTTTGAAACCACAGAGCACTTTAGACTGTTATATAGATTATATAGACTTCAGGGAGCAGAAAGAGGAGCTAAAACAATATTGTAGTCACTACATATTAGGGAAAGTTACTTGCCTTTCGATAATAAACTACTCTCTTAACATAAAGAACTACTCGCATTTCCAATAGCAATGTATATTTTTCTGCCCATCAGAAAGATGTTTGCTAAAATCACAGCTCCCTGCATCTGGAAAGACAGAGACCTTCATTCACCTGTCACCTGGTTTCAATGACTTAGACCAACTTTAAATCAGAAATTTGAATTCAAGTTTGCTATTGTCTCAAAACAGCTTTGCAGATATGTGGAAAATGAAGGAAGGAGGGGCACAGCATACCCTATCTGGACAAACCAGAAAGCAGAACAAATAGTGGGGCATTTAAGGTGACCTTTCAGTGGTGCTAGGTCTGTAAGCAGGTTATGGTAGCCATTATACTGAATCACTGTTTATGATGGCAAATATAAAAAAAGGACTGGCTTTTTCAAAGCATCACTTTTGAAGAGGTATGAAATGAATCCTGAGGATTGCCCCCACCATGGAGGACAAGAAAATTCCAACTGCTTCAAAGAACTAGTCCTACAAATCTACAACAGAGGCATAAGCCCTTGAGGACAACAGCTTTGGTCTTCTGTAGATTCCTAACAATGGACAAAACTTCACAACCTCAACAAATGCAGAAAAACCCATATTCTGACAAATTATTGAGAAAAATTAAGGCATCAAGGCATTTCTAATTCATCTTTCCTCCTTTTGTGACATCTTTTTTTTCTGCAGAAATGCAATCCAGACCAACATGTTTACTTACCTCTTGTTAAACACTCTCAATAAATATAAAATGGCATGTATTCTGTAACACTAATAATGGTTAGTGTTTGACAAATTTTAAAACACATACAATTCTTTTTCTATTTCTATTACTATTATTAAATTCTATCTAGTTCCTTCTTGTTATATTATACATGCAGACACACTTTACATGTATATAATCAGTTTTGCATTGGCCTGTACAAAGTTAAGTGTGGGCAGCATTCCAGCAAGGTTATGTTCAGAAGAAACATATTTGAAAGTGGATTCAGGAATGGGATTGTATAACAAACATTTAGAAAGTGCCCTTCCTTCAAATAATGTGAAAATGTTTTAGAGACTTATACATACAGAAACTGAGACATATGGAGGTCTCTGTGGAACAGAAGGAATACAATTCAATCAGTGCACGCTACATATCACTACAGCCAATGTATACCAGAAATTTAGTGTTTATGAAAGGAAGATTTCAATGAAATGACACAGACACTCAAACACTTGCACACAGTAAACACCGTGCTAACAAATTATGGCCTGACACTGCAAACAAGTACTAAATACTTAAAAAAAAAAACAGACATGAGTGTGTGTGGTGGCATGTAGAGGTGAAGGTGTTTATACTTAAACACATGCATGTGTGTCTTCTGAGAGCATTTTAATCTTTTGTATGTTGATGAAGAACTGTGTTGACCCTACTGAGATACAATGCTGTAGATTTAGGAAGTTTTTGTGTTTACAGATTATCTGAAGAATTTGTTTTTCTTCTATTTCTCTTAGCCACTAAAAGGAGAGACGACAGCATGTATACTTTGTTGTCAGGCATTGTATATGATGAATGTTAGATGTATTGCTGTTAATGTAATTTTGAACCAATAATATAAGTGTCAAATAGAGGAAAAGAACTCACTGAAACTCTGTCAAAATTTCTTGGTAAATCCCAGTCATACAAGATGAAAAGAACCGAAAGATCATACTGTAATGACACATCAAATGCTTACCATACTCAGTAGTTTTTATGTAGAAACATGATATTCCATGTTATTGATAAAAATGCACTTGTTTGCTATCCTGTAAATGAAGGGCTTAGCAAGGTGTACAGACTTCGAGCAAGTTTCAGAAAGAAATACATATTAGATTATAATACATTTGATGATTACTTTTAGTTCAAGGGATCAACTCTACTATCCTCAGTGCTTACCTGAGAAGGTCTGGCACACTGCTTACTATGTTCAGGTAATCGAAAAGTATGCTGAGAATAGTGTGCAGGACCAGGAAGTCCAATCCCAGTATGACTCTCTTCCCATGCTTCTTCAGTCTTCTCAGCTCAGGTCTTCAATGTGCACCCAATTTTCTGTGCACCATTTTTTTTTTTTTATACTTGTTGGCAACATGTCAGGTTGGTATCATACCTACCCTAGTTGTTTTCACTTTATTCCCAGAGGAACAGCTCCACCCCTTACGATCTGGAAGAACTTTACATTCCTCCCCTTCAAGACATGGTTGCATGTGGCACCACCATTTCTGCTCCACGATTGAAGCTACAAGAAAGGAAAACAAACATATTTGCATGTTGTTGAAATGGACACTTCATTATGTTATTATGTTGCAATATTTATTTTCCAGAAAAATATTAGAAATATGTTCACTGACAGCTAGTCTGTTATTTTCAGCCACCTCAGAACCTTAATAAGAAATTAAATTTCAATTTGCAAAACGTGCTATGTGCTTCAAAGGCAACCTCTTCACAGCATTTCATTCCAACCTCATTTATTCTTGCTCAGCCAGATTTCGAAGTGATAAGTAGAATCTCTTCTTTTGCCTGGTCTACTATACAGTCTAGCACAGTCTGATTAACTTTATTCCCCAGCGATGACATATTTACAGCTTCTCTGACAGCCAACAACATATCAACAGTAAAGAGATAACGTAAAGGGTGAATCCTGCTACTCTTTCAGAGAAAGCAATGTGAAAAATCAGCTCATATTTTCCCAAATAAAACATATGAACTTATACCACAATTAAGTAAGACATTAATATTGCACTGTGAATAGGAATAATAGCATTGGTCTAAAAAGACTAAAAACTGGACAGAATTGCATTCTGTTTCTTTGCTTTTTTTTTCATGTATGATAAATATATAAATCAGATATGACTGTAGCACATGAAAATTATATACTCATGTCAATTTTGCATAAATACTTTCAATTAAGTAAATTTCATACAACTCCAAGGGTCCTCTCTTAGATCAAATTTAGCCCCTCAAGTGGTCTCTTTCACTGTCATCTAATAATTTTGTTTAGCATTTCCGCAGGGCAATAGCAAATAACTAATTCTTCCCATCTTCCTTCTGTTCACCTTGGAGATCACCTTCAAAATGCAGAAGCCATCCTACTCTTATTTTAAATAGGTAACCGTAATGGAGTGGGTCTCATTGATGATGTTAAGCCAGCAAAAACTTCAAGAGACACAAAGAAAGGAAGCAATAGAAGTAGTCGCACCATCAACACAAGAAGGAGCTGCCCGGGTGGTACCTGCTACCTGCCCAGGGAAGCAGGAGCACTTCACCGTCTGTGATCTTTCTTCTATCTTGTTCTTATTGCAACATCTGTGAAGTGCCACCACTTCACAGGTCCCAGTTTTAACATGGTGAGCTGTGAAAATAAAAAGATGAGCAATTTGATAACTTTGCAAGGTAGCAACATACTGTTTGGTTTGGGTTTTTTTAATAAGAAATGCATTAAAATTTGTTCTGTAAGGCAATCTGTCATGCATGAAACAAGAATTACAATGATATTAACACTAGAATATAAAGTTGATTTCTTTTGTAAAAGTAGTATAACTATCTCAGGCAGAAAACACTAGCTAAAGAAGAATGGTTGGACAAGGCTGCATAGAGGACTACTCCAGTGAAGTGGGAAGCAGAAACACAAAACTAGCCTAGAAACTATATTAATTTCTGGACTTCCATAAACAGCTGTGTATCTCTACCAATATTTTTCTTCTTTTTCCCCAAGGGAGAAACTTTGACGTGAAAGTGTATCAATGCTAAAATAACTATACATGCATATGTTTTCAGAATCTATGTCTCCAGGTTTTATGTCCAGAACAGATAGTCTTTGATAAGGTATTCCAAAACCTTCCTACAAGTGCACAGAGAACAACTGGCAGGATACAGGGACAGCCCTAAAACAAAACCCAGAAATAATATCTGCTAAGGAATCACATTTTAAATCTTTCTACCTGGTTCTGCAAAGTAAATCTGGGAACATGGGGAACCAAATTTTTCAAACAAGGGAGGCAACGTGACAATTTTCTTTATTCGATATATGTACCTATCACTCCCATTCAATCTGCTGTAACTGATCACCAGAATCATGCTACTGGAGTCCTATGAGAGGACCAATTTGGTAAGAGGAGAACTGCCAAACTACCCTTTCTGCTTCAGCAGCCAGTTACCAAAGGACTTGGTTTTCAGAAAAAGTAATTTTATCTGAACTTTCAGTGGTTACTGATATAAGACCAGATATTTGTGGGGATAGTTCATTCCCATCAGAAAGAAGAGAGAAAGAAATATGAACTTTTAGCTGACCTACAACTTTTTATGGGGAGGAATACAAACTATTTAAAGCAATATGTGTTTTAACAGTACCTCTAAATCCTCTATTTCTACTTCTGTTTAACTTTTTGTATATTCTATGCAAAGCATATGTACTGAATGCTTCAGCTACCTTTTATATCCCTAGTGTAAAACAATAAATGAGAGCTTCCATGAGGAGAAAATCCTACTAACAGCCTTTCAGGAGCCCAGCATTGATCCCGGGATCCACTCAGTTGTTATTGCACAGTGTCAGCTCCTAAAAGGCCTGAGAAAGGAAAACAAATTTGATGTAGGCTATGGACCCCAAGAATGTTCCTAGAGGCAAAAGCCACAGACAGCAATTAGACTCCATGTATTCATCAACAAAACATAAACTACTAAACATCTCATTCAGGGACTTATGCATTTTTCAGTATAACAAATTCCAATGAACCGTCTGTGGTCTTTCTTGTCACTCAGTGTATTGTACTGTGTCAGGTTTGATTATACTCCACCACATCATGCTGTGTTACATCTGAAAAGATATAACATGATGCAAACAATTAACCCACGATCCATCATATTTTGATATGCTAAAATGTTACATTTACATCAGAAATCTAGGAGGAAAGAAAATATTTTTATGCACAAAAACTGCTTTTCTTCAACTTCTAACTACAATTTTTAATTCAACAGAGAATAAGGAAAACAATTCGTACTGTCTGTCTGAAATTTTCAACCTGTGGTATTTTCATACTATTGATGATGAGCAAAATATTTTTACAGCTACTAGCACAGGCTGCTGCAAAAATTACTTTTAATTATTTTCCAAACCATTCTACTGGTATACATGCCAACAAAGCAATTTAAATAAACTATTTTTTCCTCAGTAAAACACTTAGAAGGTTTTTTATCTGTGAATAGGGAAAAAATTATTCTATGATATACTGGGAATGTATAATATATAGTAGAGCAAACACATGCTGCTTTTGTAAGTTCACATTAATTTTTATTTTGATAGGCAATTACACATCTTATACCCACTCATGCTAACACAAATTCACTACTTTGTATTTTAGGAAAGGTACATAAAAAACCCCAGACACTGAATCTACAAAAGGAAGTAAATTTAGTCATAGGATGAGAACTTCGTATTACTTATTTTTCACTATATTAGTTTTTATTTATATTCTTTGTATCACTAACCCTGAAATTTTGACTCCTCACTCTCTTATTGTATACCTTTACACTGCTCTACTAGGTCTACAGAAATGCCATAATATAACCGCCAAGAGAAAATGAAGTACAATGTATGCCAATAGTCACTGGGAATGGAAGCCAGTTGAAAGAGTTGTTGTAAAATTCTGTGAGAGAAATGTTAATCCTGCAACAAAAGTTTTGAAAGCCTCCTTTGCAGTAATTAGGAGGAGAAAATCAGGCATTGTAATACTTCTATGGAAAAAGAGTGTAATTAAATGAAACAGTCACTTACATTCATGTACAATACAGAAAAGCATTTCAAAAAGTGAAAAGTTACATGAAAAATGGAACAGAACAAAAAATAATCATATACTATTGATAGTATTTGGGGAATCTTTAATAAAGCTACTTTGACATTTTCTGGGTATAAAACCAAGACATCCTAGAAAAGTATACAAAGATACTTCAAACACTGAAAAATCTAGGCCAACCATTCTTTAGTTTCTATACCATCTAGAGTATGCAATGAATATTCTTTGAGAGGAAATGTAGGGATTTCAGCTCCTTATGCTTATCAAATCATTGAGTTCCAGTGCCATAAGTACAGTATCTGTCATATTCATGTGAAATTAAGCTTCTATACAGCAGATAAAGTATTTCCCACAACTTAATACAAATTAACCTCATCAAGCCACTGAACCATTCCACAAAAGGAAGATAGTACTTTGGGAGATTCACATTTTGGTTTTGTTTCTTTTTCTCCTAGCACAGACTTCAAAGCATGCTGCTTGTTTTGCAGAAATTTTTTGAGGAACCAAATGCCATTTCTAGAAGCCTGAAGAAATTAGTTATTCAAAACCAGTGCAAACACTTAGTCCTGCATTCCCTGTTAGTGCAAGTTGTCCTTCCTGCAATCACTGTGAAGGACTGAAGAAAGAGACTCAGAGATCATTATGTGCAAAATTTTCCTGATGATTGTATATAATATATGTATAGATTATATTCCAGAGGATGTAACACTGTATTATGAGAGTAGGACTTGAGAAACAGGCACGACCATTTCTCACTCATTAATTATATATTCTGTAATTAACCTGTCACTTTTAAAGCTTTTTTCATGTAGCAAAATCATCAATAGCTATCTCACATATCAGTATGATATTCATATGCCAAAAACTTAAGTGGTCATTATCATGTTTCTGGAAAAAGTAAAGCTAAGCAATTATTATTCCTCATTTTACATAAAACTGTTTCTTCATGGTAGCTTTAAATTTCTTTCCATCAGGTAAATAAAATTTCAGTCACATTTGCACAGCACATCTGGCACTAAGTTATGGCCCTTACCCCTCTATTTCTTTGGGAAGATTGCTCCAGGTAAGAAGGGAAGTTAGTATTCAAGATTATTATTTTGCAACTCACAAATATGAATGTAAGGTATTTAGTATAGGTGCAGTGTTATATACAAACCTAGCATTAAATCAAGAAAAGTCTTCTGAATAGCATTGTTCATTATGATCACCATTTCATAGGCTCAACACTTAATCCTTGATGTTCAATTCTGACACCCATCAGGCTCTTCAGAGGGACCTGGAGAAGCTGGAGAGATGGTCTGATTCCAGCGGGATGAGGTTCAACAAGGCCAAGTGCCGGGTCCTGCACTTTGGCCACAACAACCCCC